AAGGACCTGATGCAAAAATATCGAACTGGGTGTGATGAGACCGTTCTAAACATTTTTAATGACTGAGGAGAAAAACCAGCTCACAGCCCTGATTGTAACTACGCATCCTCCAAAGACCACAGAGCTGTGTAGGAGTTGCTTACAAAGATCAAACGTTGGGTTTTTGTGAGTAGCCTGCAAACAAAGCTTGCATTAAAAGACGAGACCATCTACAAACACGTTCTGAAAACTCGACCATTTCCTTTAATTCAGCAATACGTATGCATGTATATATATTTAAGTAAGCAATATACTGCATTCAGAATTATTGTAGTATTTTGGGGATGTCTACAAATTGAACGTGGCCTCGGTGGCTGGCTGTAGGGGCACTAGAGGAGAGGAGGAGGTTGTGACATCCGGCTCATTACAGCAGCACTTGTATGGTTTGCCCAGCAGGGACGGATCAGACAGGCTGCTGGTAGCTGCTCAGCTTGTAACACTGCATGTCAAATGGCACTCGCACGCAACACAGAGATATGATAGGAACACCTCTCTTTTAAGTGCCATCTGTTCTGTTTTTTCATACAGAGCATGATTTTTTTATGTTTCATTTGTTTCCACTTTTCCCCAGCCTCCATCCCTCTTACATTTCCTGTCTTGTGCTTTTTAAGGGACCTTGCAGCTAGAAACTGCCTGGTCGCAGAAGGCAACGTGGTGAAGATAAGTGACTTCGGGATGTCCCGTCAGGAAGATGACGGAGTCTACTCTGCAGAAGGCGGTCTCAGACAGATCCCTGTCAAATGGACAGCTCCTGAAGCCCTGAACTATGGTGCATCATTAGTGCCTCTGCCATAATACCACAACCAGACACATTTCTCCTGTTTCTACTGCCAACAGCCAGTTAAATACTCACAAAGAGCTGCGCCTATGCCTTTGCTTACACTGCCCCCTGCTGTTGCTTTCAGGTCGTTATACCACAGAGAGTGACGTCTGGAGCTTTGGCATCTTACTGTGGGAGACCTTCTCCATGGGAATGACCCCCTACACCAGCATGACCAATCAACAGACACGTGAAGAGGTGGAGAAAGGTGAAGACTTCTGAAGTGTTCGTGTTCACGTGACATTCAGGAGAATTCCTGCTGTCATTGTGATTGATTTTGACACTGATACATTTTCTGAGTCTCACGTGTATCAGAAAGCACGTTTACTGCCATCTGACCATCTCTCTCCCTGTTATGCTTCTCTGTGATGTGCTTCAGGGTACCGTATGCCTGCTCCGCACGGCTGCCCCATTGAAATCTCCAGGATTATGAACAGCTGTTGGCAGTATGATCCCAGAAACAGACCATCTTTTAAGAAACTCCGGATCGATCTCAATGCCATATACAGCAAAATTATATAATACACTCTTGTAAGTTGGACGTGTTTTAGACATTATTTTTTTTGTTAGGTTGTACTTGTTCTTTCTAAAAAATAGGTTGAGATTTAATATGAATATTAAAAGTAAAAATAAAAGGTCTAATTAAAACTTGATAAGTTGTGTAGCATTTCTTTTTAGACTTACTGCTGAAAATGAGCTAAGAAGTGCTGATGTGTGGCCTTGTAGAGCAGAAGCTTGCCAGGTGGGGGCAGCACTTTCATTTCTTCCTTTGTTTCCAGAAGAGTGTCAGCAAACGACAACTCATTTACAACTTATCTCCTTTTAAAGACATGTAACGAGCTTGCAAACACTTGATTTTCTAAAAATCAGGATCCCAGAAGTTCTAATATAGACAAAAACACAAGTTTAATACCCAGCTGTTACTGTTTCGGCTGGAACAGTCTTGGTTTCCAGCAGTGTACCTAGATTTAACCCCTTCAGCTCTGTACTGTTTGAAATTCTCAGGTGGAAAAAAACAACAGCACAGTTAATGTAAGGAAAATGAATAACGTGTATGGTTCTCACTGACATAATAGTTAAACATTTTCCCAGAGCTTACTGGTGGTTCATTAGGATTCAAAGCTGCTTGGTGATTCATGCAGTTAAATTACTCCTTTGCTATTTTTTTGTGTACTTGATCACAGAATTTACAAATATTTTCAGTTAAAAAAAACAAAGCAAAGATTTAGTATTTATATTTTTCAGTATTTGCAAATTAAAGGCTTTAATTTCAACTAGACATACAATAGTATTTTTGCTAGGTAAAAAGTTCAGAGACATTTGTCACGCTATTATGTGCTGAAACAATCTTCTGACAGTTGTAGCAGGGCATGATTTATTAACTTGGTCCCGGTAGGCAAAACAAAATTGGGCCTGCAGGAACTTGAAGTTTTAGTTTTATATCTCCTTATAATTAGAAAGTGATACTTTTATCTACAGTATTATTCTTATTGTTGTTTCTTTTTGAAGCACTTTGGGCTGCATGTGCACCTGCAGTATAAATAAACCTTTAGCTCAGCAACAGATGAGGTAAAGGTAAAACTCAGCGAAGAGAAGAGAAAACACTGTATCAACGGAAGGCCCCAGCAGCCTGGAAATATTACAGCAAAAGTAAGAGGTTTCAGGTTCACCTGATCCATGTCTAACTATGAACTGTATCAAAAAGGAAAGTTTTAAGCCTGATATCAAACATAGATACTCAAAAGAGATAGAGATTGCTGGAAAATGACACAAGAAATACAAGGGGGATCGCTTTCATGTTTTTTGATTGACCAGCCACAACATCATGAGCAGTCTGCAATGCCAACTTGAACAACCTACCTTTTCTCTATCTGGTAACCATTTAGTGACCAGCAAACGTAAGTAAGTTAGATTTCAAGAGAAAGATCACAAAGTGCTGAACAATAAAATGTCAGAGCATTAAAAAGAAGATTTAACCAACCAGAAGTCTAAAAAGCAGGAAAGGATTTTCCTGCTGTTACTTCGCCAAGGAGTTGAATACAGGGAAATCAGTCAAAGAAACAACCTCCCCGGCAGGTGAGGGAGTGACCTCAGCCTGCTCAGTTTTATTACTTTGAGCCCTGGTTACGCCACAGGCAGTAATACCTCTGGTAAATTCTGGTCTCTGACATCCTTTGCTACTAGATTCGAGAACACCACTGGCAATGTAGGTAACTGTGGCCACATTTTTTCCCCTCAATAATGGTAACACCAGGAACAGGCAAAGAGGGACATACCCCTGAATCTCCCCACTGTACCAAATCAGGGGTCAACGCCAAATGACAGAAAGGTGCAGAAAATGCATTCATCTCCATACCTCTGAACAGAACAGAATTAACAGGATCAGCTGTCAGAGAAAAAAGAAGAACACACTGAATAGATTTGGACTGGGGGTGTATGTGGCGTGTATCCTGGAGCACATTCCTCTGAAGTTAAGCTGAATGAACTGTGACAGAAAAATCTAAACTTGATCTGCAACTGAGAACATTTTGTGTAAAGTTTGACAGCAGCCGCCTTATTACTGTGATGGATAGTAGCAGCTACAACAACCATTATCTTTTCTCCAACAACCTTGAGGGGACCTGACTGCTGAAGAAGCTTTGTCTGATGTTTACCTGCCCGGTCCACCCAAAGTCATGCCTTACCAATTGGTCTGCAATGATTCACTGAGTATCTCGATAAAAAATCCTTAATGCAACAATGTGTTTTGATACTCTAACCTACAACTCTAAGTTGTTTGCATACAAATTCAAGCATTTCATCCACATTTGTGACTAAAAATAGACCTACAATAGAAATGTATCGGAGGACTGATAACACAGCAGCAGCAGTGAAGATGAGCCTGTCAAAGTTTAACATGGAGCTGTAGTCTGTCTACACAGGGGTAGGAAACATAGGGTGTGGGGGCTAAAATTGGCCCGGCAAAGACTCCAACCCAGCCCAAATTTCACGTTTTTGTGAATCAACAAACTTTGTTTTATAATTACAGGACACTCTGAGCTACTGGAACTTGTTACGTAAGCCCAAAGAGTCATGATGACACATTTCTTTACCGTAATTAACTAGAGCAGCATTTCTTTGTTATGTAGAAAAACTCAGAGGCACAGTTGAAATTGTGCTTCCTTTTTCTAATACTAATATATCTCAGGGATTAAATGCTTTTACACTGTTAGACAGGAGGGTCTGTCAAGGTTTCATTAAAATTATTTTGAAGATTTAGATAAA